CGGGGGGCTGGGAATCGAACCCGGGTTGCAGCGGTGAGAGTCCTGCACCCTAACCACTAGACCACCAGAGGCCCCAAGGTGCAGTAATTAACCTCTGCAATTCAGTATTGCCACCCCTCCATGATGAGAGATAAACCTCCCCCAAAATAATGAATTTTTAGTTTTCGTAGGTCTTTTATATATTTATTTATAAAATTAATTTTATCTGTCATTTAGGGATTTTTTTTGATACTTGTATGGTGCCTTAGATCCATGTTGTTAAGATTTTCTCCACATTCAAAAAAAAACCTCAGAAATTAGAGGAAAATGTTGAGAATCTGTTACAATTAATGATCCCAGAAAATTAATTTTAAAGGAAAATACAAAATCCTAATTCAGGAGAAGCATGACAGTTGATAGACTTGAAAGCATTTTTGTATGTGAAGAAAATATATTTGATATATGAATGTATGTAGTATTATATGCTGATCATAAACATTTGAGCCTCTATTTAGTTACATGTGGTAAGCACCAAATACAGTACTAACTTCCCATTTTTAATTCAACAGTTTCTGTAGTCAAAAAGAACAAGATTAATACCCATGATTAATATTCTGAATTCTCAAATTTATTGAAAGAAGAATATTAATATATTAAACAGCTCAACTTTAGGGGATAAAAAACTTGCATTCTTTCCCTGGGCTGCCTCCCCAGGACAAGTCACTAGTTTAGCTGAAAGCAGCCACTTCACAAAAGTACAACTATAATATTCTGTGTGCACATATATACATTTACAAGTACATTCTTGTCTCTCGGTGTCCTTTGATTGACTTAATAAAGCATATAACATTGGAAATAATGTTTGGGTTTGCTTTGTGATGAAATTACTTTAAAAGTGGCTTTAGGAAAAAAAAAAGTTTCCCAAAAAAGTGCTCGTAAATAAATCACAATTACATATGCAAATAGGCTGATTACATTTGGCTGCACAACTGAATAACAAATTATAGAGAAAATGGCTTTTTAATCTTGCAACTACAAGTCTGCCCTCAGGCTGACCCAAGAGTCCTTTCATTTCAGCTCAAACCCATTACTTTGCTGTTAAGTGCCATCCACTACAAAACTAAAATCATGTGCAATTACAATTACACGCTCATTTAGATGTGCAATTGGTCATTTTTTACACATGCAATATTGATATTGTCTTTCATAAATGTTTTCTGCTTTCCTGAACCAAATCTACTACAGAGAGTGTAACTATGTGGCTTTCTGCAATCTACAGCCTTTAGGAGCACAATCAGAATATTAAAAAGAAATAATCTCCCATTATTTCACCAAATAGAAAAAGACATTTGGTTTGGGGGTGAGTTTTTCTATGTATATATGGATTTTGTTCATACATCTATTAAACCTTTAATATTTATATTTTGCTAAATACAGTAAATCTCTCTTGGCTAGACCTGTCATTGGCCCTTCAAAATAATTACTGTATATATCAAGTATTTGAGAGAACACTAGATTATCATCATGTAATGTAAGAACATAGACAATACTAAATGAAGTAGAAATTTTCAGTAGTGTAATTACCAGCACCAAGCAAACTGGGAGACAATTGATAAAAGCTAAAGTTTTTTCCACTTTATGTTTTCATTTCCCACAATCAGAAGCACAATTCTCTCTAGGCACAGGCAAAGTTGCTGAAGACAGCAGGTTGCTGGGATCTGTGAAGTGGCTGCAGTCCAGCACTCCGTCTTCCTCTGCCAGAGGCTGGAAAGCCTCACTGCTGCTGCTGGTATTGCCAACTCATGGGTGGCAGCGTGTGAGGTGATAACTATTCCTGCTGGGACAGTCGGTGCCTCAAAAACCAGCCATTACTTGCCCTAATATTCCCATCTTCCCAGCAGGCCTAGGAGCAACAAGCTTTCAAAGTAACTGGCACACACCATTTTTTTCCTCTTGCCCTATTTCTGCTCCTGTCCCTTCTCTTTTCCTTATAGATTAAAAGCAGCAGCCCAGTTTACAGCCCCTATGAAAAACACAAGTGAGGATTTTTACTGTTTAGTTCATCCTTAGCATATTTAAATCTGTAAAAATACTGGAAGAATATGTAATTCTACATCTCTGTGATACCATTTCAGTAAGTCAAGAAGGGTTGTGTTGATCTGGTGTAAATCTGGTTTGCCCTGCCTGACATGCTTCTTTGAAAAAGCACAACAGTCCCATGAAAAAACATACCTTTATCTTAGTTGCCCCATTGACTTTCCCATCAGTAACAGTTCTGGTGTAGCAGCCAACATTAATATTTATGTGCACTTACATATTAATAATTGATAATTAGTTATGATTTAGCTAAAACATGAATAGGGGAGCAACTGTTTTACATGACACTCTTGTGAGAATAGATGCTGGCTTAGAAGAAACAGGATATGTCTGAGTATAAACTAACTCACTTGGGAGAAATTACTTTAAACAGGATCTTAAATGGCAGCAAGTGGGTCAGTGAGCATGCAGATGTGCTGCATCAGTGTCTGCAAAAAGAATGTGATAGCACACCATGCGTGAACAGTTGAGGAAACCAACTGGAAGATGATGTTAGGAGAGACGACTATAGGAGCATGACATCTGTATACAATAGCCGCTATTTCAAGGACAGTTTCAACTCTGCGTACCTAAGTTAATAAAATTCAGAGACTGCAGCAAAGAACCAATATGCTTGATGAAATAAAACAGTCTTTATAAACTAGCCAGGACTGTACATCTTAATGTTGAATATTAATAATTAAGTACTTGCTATTTATATAGTTATGTGCTTGATGTTACCTACCTGTTCTGTACAGTACCTCTGGACTCCATAGCAGGTGATATTAAATACGTATTAAAAAAATTAACAAAAAAGGTAAGGACTTTAATGTTGTGTACTTAAGTAAGATGACTACTGAATCTAGCAAACTAACAGCAGGAAATTGTAGTCTGCTCCTTTGGGAGTCAGCAGGGTGTTTCCATTGTTAATTGTTGATTACATATTGTGAGATAAAATACACTTGAATTTCCAAAGCACGCAGGATGCCATCCCCTCTGTTGCTGAGAAGCCAGAGGCCGTTCCCTGGTCCCTCCTGCCCATGTCACTGGTCGGTGCCATGGGGCAGGTTGGCGAGGGCAGTTTTCTGACTCAGTGACAGCTTTCCAAGGCCTGTGGATTTCCCTTTTCTTTCTGGACAAGGTTAGCTGTGGAGGTCCACAGTTGTGTTCAAAAGTCGCTTTTTCTCCTGTCTTCTGACAGAACATGACTCACTTTGCGGGCCAGAGAGGGACGCCACCTTCTCTCACTTCCAGCCCCTGTCAGACCTGCCCCAGGGGGAGCAGGGCCGCCGCACCCCTCGCTCTGCCCGCTCCTCGGGGAAAGGCTCCGCTCGGCTCTGCAGCGCCTCCCTCAGGGCGGCGTTCAACGGCGCCGCCCAGCACGCGGCCGCGGCCGAGCCCCGCGCGAGGGCCGCCCCGCCCCGCCCGGCGTGAGGGAGGCACCGCCACAGCGCCACCGGCCGCGAGCGGCGCGGAGCCCACCGGGGTCGTGGGGCAGGGGCGCTGCCGGCGGTCGAGGTGGGCTGGCGACCCCCTGGCCCAAAGGAGGGGGCGAGGAGGTTTTGTTTCTCGGGGGCTGTGGGGCTCCGGGTGCGGTGCCAGTTTGGGCGAGGGGGGCACGGTCAGTTTCTGGGGATTTTTCACCAATATCGCGTCAGTTCTCTTTCACGCATTCAGGAGAGAGTCTTCCAAAGAACACTTGAGGCGGGCCCTCGTAAGATGCGGGCTGCTGTCAATGTCCAACTTGTTAAGATACTAAAAAAACCTGGGTCCCACAGAACTGCTGCTGGGCCAGAGGGATTCCCTTCTCTGGGCAAGTCTCCCATAGTAATAACTCCCGAGAAGCAATGTGGTCTTTATAAGGGGGAAGTCTTGGGATGCTTCCCCTGCTGCACTGGTCTCTCATGGAGGCAGTTTATTTCTCCGCTATTTAAACTGTTTTTCTCTACTTTTCTTGATACTAGTCAGAACACTCCATGAATCAGGAGATTGGGCTAGATGACTTGTTGCGATCTTTTCTAGCCTTTTCCCAGCGGGGTGGGGCAAGAGGGGCAAAGTGTGTTGTTTTGCTGTCACCACACAGCTTTTTTTATTGTCAGAATGCTATAAAAATACAGATGCTGCATTCTAGAAGCTAGCTAGCCTCTTAAACAGTTTTTCCCGTTTTTAAAAAGCATGCATATCATTTGCAATCAGGGTATAGAGGAAAACTTGCTCCCCCCCCTTTTTTTTTTTTTTTTTTTACTCATCCAATGCAAATCTGTGTTATTACTACCTCGCTCTATGCGGAAATTTATTATAAATATGGTTTAAAGAAGCATTCCTAATCTGGGTAAAATGAAATATGGCATCCGTGTCAGTAGTCTTGGTTAATTGAGCTGCAGGAATTTTCATTGCTGCTTTTGACTACAGCTTTCAAATCTTCCTTTTTTAAGATGAGCAGGTAGAAAAAGCAAGGAATCAAACCAGAATTTTTTTTCTAGCTTTAGTTAAGTTGTTTTAATTCAGACAGTAGCCATTTAACAGTTGGTTTCTAGGCCTGAGTGGATTCAAACTTCATGTGTTGGAAAATTGTTACTTGACTATATTAGAAGTTTAGTGTTCAAAAAATTATAGTATAGTAAATTTGCAGGTGATTTTTGGTTTTCTTTCTATAATGCAAAGACCAGTTAAAGTGGGGTGTGATACTGGGCATATTTCAAAAAGCCTAACTTGTCTTTTCCTGTTCCCTGCTGAAAATGGATAATGTAGTTGTAACTCTTGCAGTCATAATAGTTTCTTTTGATTTTTTTTTTTTGTTATAACAATTATTCCCATGTCTTGTAAAGTTTCCTAGAGAAAATAGAATTTCAATATAGTTTTTATTGTGTTCATAGTTGTTTCTATTATTCTTTTTCTCTAAAAGAAGCTGAAGTTCCTTCAAATCATAAAATCTCCCAGATGACAAAGGAGATGGAAGTGGGAAGGTGATATATTAAGATATAGATGTTACAAATATACCAATATAGATGTTGCATTTTACAACTGATTATTTACTTAAAGTGGGAGATTTGTCTGCCCACCATCACCTTTGGAGTTTTTGGTGCTTCTGTAGTAGCTAAACTGAGTGGGAAGATACAAAACTGAATTAATGTAACTAAAGTAGATATTAAAAAACAATTCTGTAGGTTTATATATGCATGTAAGAGAACTCCTATCCAGACAGCAGAGTGTAAGAGGTACGCTGATGTTAATTAATTAAAAACCCATTGAATTAAATTGTTAGAAAACACCTTCATTTCCATCACACGTCCCCATCTCCTTTCTCCAATATACACACAGATATTCAGGGAAAAACTTTTTTTGGAGAGGAAGCTATAGGGTAGCTCAGTTGGAAGGAAAAATGAGAGAGGTGTCTGATTGTGTCTTCATGCAAATTTTATCCAGCATATTCAATCATATAAAAAAATTTCCACATCAGACCTTTTCTGCTTTTTCCTGCCCGGATGCAGTAGTGTATTGCCTTGTCAAATGCAGCTAATTAGTGGTAGGTAGACTGCTCTTCTTCCTTAACATCCTTTTCTTAAACTGAACAGTCTCTAATAATTTCAGCTGCTTTTTTTGAAGTGCAATGTTTCAAAATGTTGCAGAAGCAAAAAAGTTTATTGGCAAATCCCTTCAGCCAGCACGACCTGTGCATCACTTGTCTTCTAAACAAGGTGAGTAGCAGGGCTAAGGTACAGTTCAGTTTGCCAAAGTCTTGGTTATGTTTAATGAAATAACAAGGACTTGTAAGGTGACTTGGTTTGTTTTGGTTTGGTTTTGGTTTGTTTTTTTTTAAGGACTTTGTTCAAACTATAGTGGTGAATAAATATCTTGCCATGTATTGATCTTATCACATTATCTCTGTGATAAAATCAGAATTTAAACTTCAGGGTTATGCAGAACTCTTTGGTGCTGTTCTTCTAGCTTGGCATCTGAAATCTGGCTTCAGAAAGCTGGATCAGGCTTCTCTGTTAAATTTGGATTTCTTGGGTTTGTTGACACCTGCTATTGAAAACATAAAGTACACATAATTTAACAAATAGATTTTTTAGGTTTTATTGCGAGCCCAATGCACTGCACTTCTCTGTTCTTATCTAGCCTTCATACAAGTTTAAAACAAAAAATTCCAAAAAAGCTTAAGAAAAATAAAATCATGCAATAGTTATGTCAGGTGAGAATATTTTCATTTTATTTATTTTTTTTTAAATTTCTATGTGCCTCCTAGATATTGCAGTATTACAGCTGTTGTTATTGTTAAGTTAGAAATTTTCTGACTGATGTGGACTGAATCTAAGTGATGTGATAAATTTTGACTTTCTATAAAATTTTTGCAAGAAGTGGAAAAGGGGTCTTTTGATGAGCTAGACCTTTTAGGTTGTGAATAAATGCCCACATAATCTCTTTGCAGTCAGGAATGTTCTTGTGGTAAGTTATGTGGAGTCTGTTGAAATTATTTTTCCTTAATGTTTTATCTTCACCAGCATCAGCCATTGCATTAAACGTTCAGACTGAGTTACCTGGCAGCACTGAAGTATGTTTGCAGAGTAAGGTTAACTGGGTGAGTACTGAGTAAATAGTAGATGATAAAGTTGATGGCGTGTGTTCTGCATGTTATAAATTGGAGATCACTTGATCCATTATGCTACCAAATGAAAAGCAAACTATTTCCCACTAGGAGTGTTCTTGAATCAGAAGGTTTTAAACTGGGAGTGTCAGAACTGTTAAAAAGAATTCTGAGTTTCAGGAATGCCTTTCCTTGGTATTTGCATGCACTAGTAGCTCAAAAATGCAGCTTAGGATTTTAAGATTCTTATGCAAGTCTGTGTGGCATTACTTTAGTCTTTGCTGTGAATTTAAGACAGCTCTTTTGAAGTACACATATCTAGTCTTTGCTTATTATGTGTAAATAATAACATTAGAATTCTTTTCGTTGTTAGCACATGCACAAATTCATTTGAGACTTCACAAAAGTAGGAAATTTAACAGTTCCAGTGCATTCTGTAATTATGTTTCATTCACTGTGCTGGACTGGGCAATAAGCAAGCTCTAGCATTCAGAAAAACAGAAGCAGTGTAGTGCTTTATTGCCAGAAATACTTGGGTTTGGGCATGGTACAGTGCGTCCTTCAAACTTTAAATTGGTTGTAGCTGTTTGCTGCAAAATGAAGTTTGAAGTCTTCCAACTGGAATGCTTAATGTTTCATAGTCTGAATTTGATTTTCTGTTGCTTCTGATTTCAGTGTTCTTCAGAGTTTATTGATAGTTTGTGGGGGGTTTTTTTTGTTAGAACAAATGCCTGTTCCTTCTCTTTTTATTTTTATTTTAGAAGACTTTTAATAATCCTTATTGTATAAAGCTTCTGGAAGCTGCCTTTGACTTTAAAAAAAAAAATTAAAATAAAATAAAATCAAGGTGTTAAGAGCCTGTCCTTGATCACATATAGGGAAATTAACAGTTATACTTGTCTGTTGAGCAGTAGTTATTGAGAAGAACAGAAAACAAACTATTCCCTTTTAAATAAGCCTGTGGTCAGCAGTGTTGTAGTCCTCATGTGAGTATAGCTGTATTTTTTATATTTTTTAAACTTTTTCTTTGGCATAGGATATGGAAAAAACTCATTAATAATACGTTTGGCTGTAAACTGTTTCATGGGTACTCCAAATACCATCTGAACAGTGAGTGCCCTTCTTGATGGGCAACATGGGCCTGAAGACTGGCAGAGTAGCTTCATAGAATATTTTTCTAAACAGAAACATTCTGTATTTAGTTCTGAAAATACTAGGACCTCGATCTCATGATAAAGAGTAGCCTATTATCACTATTCAATCAGACTTGATATTGTAGAGCAGTTGGCAGGATGATGTGATGGGACGTGGTGCAGGAAGAAATGCAAAAATACTGTGGTGACATTGGCGCATTACTGTAAACTGTGCTTTGTCATGGTTGTCTTTTTCTTATGGATTTGAGAACATGTTGAGAGGGGCACTCTGTGCTGGGTTAGGAACTGGCTGGAGGGCTGGGCCCAGAGAGTGGTGGTGAACGGTGCTGCATCCAGTTGGCAGCCGGTCACTGGTGGTGTTCCCCAGGGATCAGTGTTGGGCCCAGTTCTGTTTAATATCTTTATTGATGATTTAGATGAGGGGATTGAGTCCACCATCAGTAAATTTGCAGATGACACCAAGCTGATTAGCTGGAAGTCAGGAGGGCTCTGCAGAGGAACCTGGACAAACTGGAGAGTTGGGCTGATTCCAACTGGATGAGGTTCAACAAGGCCAAGTGCTGGGTCCTGCACTTTGGTCACAACGACCCCCTGCAACGCTACAGGCTGGGAACA